TCCCCCCTGCCCCCACCCCCTCCCTTACCACCCACTCCGCCCCCTCCCTCCCCCCCCCCAATACCCAGCAGAAACTATTTTGCCCTTATTTCTAATTTTGTTGTAGAGAGAGTATAAGCAATAACAGAAAGGGACAAGGGTTTTTGCTGGTTGAGATAAGGATAGCTATACAGGGCATTGACTCACATTGATTTCCTGTGCGTGGGTGTTACCTTCTAGGTTAATTCTTTTTGATCTAACCTTTTCTCTAGTACCTGTTCCCCTTTTCCTATTGGCCTCAGTTGCTTTAAGGTATCTGCTTTAGTTTCTCTGCATTAAGGGCAACAAATGCTAGCTAGTTTTTTAGGTGTCTTACCTATCCTCACCCCTCCCTTGTGTGCTCTCGCTTTTATCATGTGCTCAAAGTCCAATCCCCTTGTTGTGTTTGCCCTTGATCTAATGTCCGCATATGAGGGAGAACATACGATTTTTGGTCTTTTGGGGCCAGGCTAACCTCACTCAGAATGATGTTCTCCAATTCCATCCATTTACCAGCGAATGATAACATTTTGTTCTTCTTCATGGCTGCATAAAATTCCATTGTGTATAGATACCACATTTTCTTAATCCATTCGTCAGTGGTGGGGCATCTTGGCTGTTTCCATAACTTGGCTATTGTGAATAGTGCCGCAATAAACATGGGTGTGCAGGTGCCTCTGGAGTAACAGTCTTTTGGGTATATCCCCAAGAGTGGTATTGCTGGATCAAATGGTAGATCGATGTCCAGCTTTTTAAGTAGCCTCCAAATTTTTTTCCAGAGTGGTTGTACTAGTCTACATTCCCACCAACAGTGTAAGAGGGTTCCTTTTTCCCCGCATCCTCACCAACACCTGTTGTTGGTGGTGGTGTTGATGATGGCTATTCTAACAGGGGTGAGGTGGAATCTTAGCATGGTTTTAATTTGCATTTCCTTTATTGCTAGAGATGGTGAGCATTTTTTCATGTGTTTTCTGGCCATTTGAATTTCTTCTTTTGAGAAAGTTCTGTTTAGTTCACATGCCCATTTCTTTATTGGTTCATTAGTTTTGGGAGAATTTAGTTTTTTAAGTTCCCTGTATATTCTGGTTATCAGTCATTTGTCTGATGTATAGTTGGCAAATATTTTCTCCCACTCTGTGGGTGAAGAACAGTGTCTTAATACATAGTCCATGCTGGCCTTGAATTTGAGATCCTCCTAACTCAGCTTCCCAAGTGCTAGAATTACAGATGCGCATCACTCTGCAGCATTCTGCAAAGTTTCTCTTTTGCTGTGAAATTCCTTGAGAATTTATTGTTGAATCATTAGAGCGTAAGTAATTATGCAAATCTATGAACATTAGCATCTGTTATTCTTTGGCATCCTTAGAATTTCCACACAAACACTATATGTGAAAAGTAATCTTTATTTTTCTTTTTTTTTTTTTTGGGTGGTACTGGAGTTTGAACTAGGGCCTTGTGCTAGCCAAGTAGGCAGTCTACCACTTGAGCCACACCCCCAGCCCATGAAGACTAATCTTGAAATAAGATTTTTTTGGAGATCCGTTTTTAAAATCTATTCTAGTAGTCTGCTATAATTTTTCAAATTTATTCTGAACTCAACATTTCAATATATTTTCCTCAGATGTCCGGCTACTACTCAATAACGACAATCTCCTCAGGGAAGGGGCAGCACAGTAAGTATCTTTAATAAATTCACTTACAGTGTTATTCTAACATTGGATGAACTATGGTAACAGTAAAATGTCACCCTGAAAATTTAAGTTTAAGCTAAAGTTGGTCTTTGTATTAGTTTTCTGTAGCTGTGATCAAAATATCTGAGAAAACAACTTAAAGGAAGGAATTAATTTGGCTAACCATTTCAGAGGCTTCAGTTCATACTGCTTGGCTCCAGTAATTCTGGCCCATGATGATGCGTGAACATCATGACAGTGGGACCGTGTTCCAGAGGCCACTGTCCTCATGGTAAACAGAAGAAGAGAGCCTGAGAAGGGCCAGAGACAGTCCCCAAAGACATGACTGCCCCCCCTCAAGGCCCCACCTCCTGAAGTTTCCAGAATCTCCCAAAATAGCACCAACAGCTCAGGACTAAGGCTTCTTTTAATGTATCAGCCTATGGGGTAGGGGGACTTCATGTGCAAGCCATAACAGTTTCATTTTTGAATTTTTTTTTCTTAGAGAAAATATGTCGTCGTTCCACCCTCCCCCCACCCAGTGTTTACTTCTTCAAAGCTTATTATGTGAACTTGCTTAGTTTTGGTTTTGTCCACATTTTCCCCATTAAAGCAGAATATTAACTGTTAGGTTTTCTGGGGGGGGGGGCGGTTGTTGGGTTTTTGTTTTCTCTTTGTTGTTTTTTGATGGTACTAGGGTTTGAACTCAGTGCCACATACTTGCTAGGCAGGTACTCTAACACTTGAGCCATGTCCCCAGTATTTTTCATGGTCTTTCTAGTTCATATTGAATTTCTTTTAGCTATTAGTTATAAATAATTAGTCTGCTAATGATAATTGATAGTTTCTCAAACTGCCAAATAACAGTATATTCCTTGTCTTTGTCCTGGAAAATATTGTAGTGGTGGTTTTTTTGATTGTTTGTTTGTCTTCTATAGTCAAATCTAACAGCAATTTAGCATTCAAAGTCCCCTTATCTGGCTTTATTATTACTCTGCTCTACTCTTCAACTGAAAGTCCCATTTCAGTTACTGTCTACCCATCTGGCCCGAACTTTCTTTGTAATAAGGAAATCAGCTCATTGGAAAATGGCTGGGGAGAGGACAAGGACATTTTGATGCAAAGCAGCAAATAATTATAAAGGCATTTTGGTATGATACGTATGTGGTTTAGATTTTGACTAAAGAAAACTAATTTAAGAGCCTAGGAAACAATAATCTCCTGCTCTGTCCAGATGCTTTTTTGGAGCTCATGTTGGACAAGAAATTTTTTTCTGTTTTATTTTCCTTTTGTTGTTGCTGTTGTTACTGTTGTTGTTTGGTTTTTGGTTTTTGGTTTTTTTTTTTTGTGGTGCTGGGAGTTGAACATACTAGCTAAGTTCTTCTTATGCTAGCCAAGTTCTCTACCACTGCACTACCCTGAAGTTCATTTCAGGACTAGATTCTGCAAACCTAGGATGTACCAACCATCACTGTAATAGTTATCATGAATGATGCCCTAGTTATAATTTATTTAAGAAATTAGCCACACAGTAAAGATATACTCGATTGCTATTTTCTCTTAGATGCATAAAATCTGCCATAAAAAAGGATATTCATGATATGCTAGTTCAACCCTCTCCTGTTTTTACTGAACCTCATCTATATCTGACAACAGATGGTTATGCAATCCGAATGCTTCTACTAATAAAGAATTTCCAACCTCAAAAGGCAAGTTCTTACTAGGTGCCAGAGTAATCCTCACTACTAAGGAGGCAGAGATCATTGGAATTGTAGTTCAAAGCCAACCTGGGAGAATAGTTTGTGAGATTCTTTCTTGAAAATACCCAACACAGAAAAGGGCTGGCAGAGTTGCTCAAGTGGTATGGTAGAGTGCCTGCCTACCAAGTGAGACACCCTGAATTCAATCTCCAGTACCACCAAAAAATAAAACAAGTTCTTCACTTTTCTGGCATGTTGGCCATAGCTTTATCCTTGAGAGCTACCCAAAATAAATCTACTCTGTATTTCATTTGACACGCTACTGTTGAAGTACCTTGAGGGTGGAATGCCACTCAAGACTGATTGCAATTCAAATGTATTGTCCCATTTCCAATTAGGACTGACTAGAAGCTGGTATTATAGCTCAGATGTTTCATTGCACTAACACTAAAAGCTTCATATGTTTAAATATTTTTGGTTCTTACAGACTCTGGGTTTCTGGAGAACATTCTTATTAAAGGAGAATTTTCCTGAGTTCAAATATTTGATTTCTCCATAGGGATGGAACAGTTTTATTTCTATAATAAAATGCTTCAATCTCTTGGTCATGGTGTTCATAGTTAGTGCTCAGTAAATGTTTCATAATTCTGCCATCATTTTGCCTTCTGTATAAATTGAAGGAGGCCTGGTAAGACCTGATTTACCCTCTGTCATGTATGTTCATCTATGCTTCTAACCACCAAAACTATTCTGTGATAATTCCCAGCAATTCTAATAGCAGTAGGTGGTGTTGGTCATATTGAATGAATTTTATTCTGAGTGAGATGAGACATTAAGAGTGTTAAATAGGGCTGGGAGTGTGGCTCAAGTCAAGTGCAGAGCTCTGAATTCAAAACCCTGTACCATCAAAAAAAGAAAAAACAAAAGCAATCAAAGAGTGTTAAGAAGAGAATGACATGATGAGATTTAAATTTTAGAATAATCACTATTCTAATCATTATGTAGGGGACAGAGACTGAAGTGAGATGGATACCTGCAAGACTATTGAGTACTTCAGGGATAGATGGTAGCGGTTTGGACTAGAGTGGATACAGTGGGAGTAGGGGAAAGAGTCAGAGTTTACTTTCCTGAATAATTTACTAGAGTATCATTCATGATGATAACTACATGTGTTGGTTTAGAAATCCTAAGTTTGCAGAATCTAATTCCAAGTCAAATTTTAGAACCTACAAAATTTACTGGTGGATTGAATGTAAAATGTGAAAGAAAGAGAAAAGTCAAGGATGACTTTACGTATTTGGCTTGAGCAGCTGGTAAAATGGAGATAACTATTCATTTTTTAAATTTTTTTAAAACAGCGCATTTGCCCAGTATAACATGGATCAGTTCACACCTGTGAAGATAGAAGGATATGAAGATCAGGTAATAACTGCCTGTAAGATGGTCCGTTTCTGCAAAGTAGTACACATGTAGAAACAAAGCAGATGTGTGAATCCAGTCTTAGTTTTCATAGTTTATGTCAATATTTTGTATATTAGGAAATTCTTCCTCTTTCCAATGGTGGTAGTAGTTTTTCTTTGTAGAGAGAGAAAGAGAAAACAAGAAGAGCGAAAATAAAAGAAGTTGAGTTTTATAGGTTTTCCTACTATCTCTTAATTTTGCTTGGTAAGAATAATAGAAGACATTACATTTAATGGGAAAACAAAGGCATTCCTGCTGAAATTTAAGCTACTTTAAGTTACTTTAGAAATTTGCTAGTTGGGAAACCCTAGCAGCACAGCAACTAAGAGATAGCATAGATAAATGGGACCTCATAAAACTGAAAAGCTTCTGTTCATCAAAAGAAATGGTCTCTAAACTGAAGAGAAGACCCACAGAGTGGGAGAAAATATTTGCCAGCTACACGTCAGACAAAGGACTGATAACCAGAATATATAGGGAACTTAAAAAACTAAATTCTCCCAAAACTAATGAACCAATAAAGAAATGGGCAAGTGAACTAAACAGAACTTTCTCAAAAGAAGAAATTCAAATGGCCAAAAAACACATGAAAAAATGCTCACCATCTCTAGCAATAAAGGAAATGCAAATTAAAACCACACTAAGATTCCACCTCACCCCTGTTAGAATAGCCATCATTAGCAACACCAGCAACAACAGGTGTTGGTGAGGATGCGGGGAAAAAGGAACCCTCTTACACTGTTGGTGGGAATGTAAACTAGTACAACCACTCTGGAAAAAAATTTGGAGGCTACTTAAAAAGCTAGACATCGATCTACCATTTGATCCAGCAATACCACTCTTGGGGATATACCCAAAAGACTGTGACACAGGTTACTCCAGAGGCACCTGCACACCCATGTTTATTGAGGCACTATTCACAATAGCCAAGTTATGGAAACAGCCAAGATGCCCCACCACTGACGAATGGATTAAGAGAATGTGGTATCTATACACAATGGAATTTTATGCAGCCATGAAGAAGAACAAAATACTATCATTCGCTGGTAAATGGATGGAATTGGAGAACATCATTCTGAGTGAGGTTAGCCTGGCCCAAAAGACCAAAAATCGTATGTTCTCCCTCATATGCAGACATTAGATCAAGGGCAAACACAACAAGGGGATTGGACTTTGAGCACATGATAAAAGTGAGAGCACACAAGGGAGGGGTGAGGATAGGTAAGACACCTAAAAAACTAGCTAGCATTTGTTGCCCTTAACACAGAGAAACTAAAGCAGATACCTTAAAGCAACTGAGGCCAATAGGAAAAGGCGACCAGGAACTAGAGAAAAGGTTAGATCAAAAAGAATTAACCTAGAAGGTAACACCCACGCACAGGAAATTAATTTGAGTCAACTCCCTGTATAGCTATCCTTATCTCAACCAGCAAAAACCCTTGTCCCTTTCTGTTATTGCTTATACTCTCTCTACAACAAAATTAGAGATAAGGGCAAAATAGTTTCTGCTGGGTATTGAGGGGGTGGAGGGGAGAGGGAGGGGGCAGAGTGGGTGGTAAGGGAGGGGGTAGGGGCAGGGGGGAGAGATGACCCAAGCCTTGTATGCACATATAAATAATAAAACAATGAAAAAAAAAAAAAAGAAATTTGCTAGTTGGGAAATAGAGGTAAGAAAAAGACTTACCCTAATATATACATTTTTATTTTTTAACCATGTGTATGTATTAACTATCTTACATGCTGAGTATAGTGACTCTGACTCTGGAAATGTTTCATAAAAATATGTGAAAAAAAGAATACATAAAAGCATACATCAATGTTATCATAGTTAGCAATAAAGTATGTACACAGCTGAGCATGGTAGCTCATGCATGTAATCCCATGCATGAAGATTGGGAAGATCACAGTTCAAGGCCAGCATGGGAAAGAAGTTCGAGAATCTCATCTCAGCCAATAAGTGGGAGTGGTGGTGCATGCTTGTGGTCCCAGGTTCATGGGTAGGAGGATTGCTGTCTGAGACTGGACCCCAGACAACAATGCGACACCCTACCTGAAAAATAACTAAAGCAAAAGAAGGTCTGGGGACATGGGTCAAGTGGTAAATGCCTGCCTAGCAAGTGGGAGGCTGTGAGTTCAATCCCCAGTATTACCAAAAAACGTATATATATATATATATAAATATATCACAGATAATACATTAGACAGAAGCCAAGAAACCAATGATACTGTTAAGAGAGGAGAAAATTCACCGTATAAAGTTGACTTACTCATAAATGTAATATTTTTATATTAATAGAAATGAAACTTGGTTAAAAAGTAATACGCAAGAGAAATCTGACTAAATGAAAAGTTAACTGTTTTCCCATGGATTTACTTGTTTTGCAAAATGTGATAACTGTCTTTTATTCATATTTGTGATTCTTCTTTGGAAGGTCTTAATTACAGAGCATGGTGACCTGGGTAATAGCAGATTTTTAGATCCAAGAAACAAAATTTCCTTTAAGTTTGATCACTTACGAAAAGAAGCAAGCGATGCCCAGCCAGAGGACATAGATGGTGGTTTGAAATCTTGGCGAGAATCCTGTGACACTGCTTTAAGAACCTATGTGAAAGAACATTATTCCAATGGCTTCTGCACTGTAAGTATCTGCCTTATCAGACAGTGTTTTGTCTTATGCTTACCTTATTCCTTTAAGCCTTTAGCCCTCCAGGTATCAATTCTTCCTTCTTATTTATACTCTTCTCTGTGTTTTATTCCCCAAATCATTTTTAAGAGGAGTATACCTATACGGAAAATTCCCTTTTATAATCCCAGTACATGATAATTTTAAATCTCAGTATATTCTATTTACATTTTGCTTATTTAATCCTGAGAAATTGCCTTATTCCCATTCAAAAAAGTTTTTAAAGGTGTTTAGCTTATGAGCTGTGCATGTGGCACCTGCCTATCGTTGAAGCTACTGAGGAGGCTGAGGTGAGAGGATAACTTGAGCTCAGGAGTTTGAGACCAGCCCGGACAACAGCAAAACTGCCTCAAAAAAAGGAAAGAAGGTCTTTAGCTTAGAGTTGGGGAAGATGGTGATAAATGAAAAATGTTGGGAGAGCTATTGCCAGTGTTTATGGCTTTGTTTTGAGACAGGGTCTGCTATTTAAACCCAAGGCAGCTTCAAATTCTCTATCTTCCTACTTCAGCTTGCCAGAGTGTTGGCATTGTAGGCATGCACCATCATACCCAGCTTTGTTAATACATTTTTAATTATTTTTTTAGCTGATAAGTAAAGTTATGTATATGTATACATAGACACACGTATTTTGTGTACAGCTTGATGTTCTGAAATACATATACATGGTAGAATGGCTAAATTGATCTAATTAATATGTATGACTTCTCATACTTCTAAATTTTTTGAGTGATAACTCTGAGAATCTCAGCAGTTTTCTTTTGATATTAACCTTTGGAGTGCTGGAATTATAGGGCATTAGCCACCATACCCAGCTAGCATCTCTCAAATGTACAGTGCACTATTATTAACTAGACTGTTTTAAATGTGTAGTGAGGATGAGTTAAGTGGCAATATAGCTGGTCTCAGTGCTTCATGTCTACAATCCTAGCTATACAAAAGGTGGATATCTAAAGGATGGTGGTTTGAGGCCAACCTAGACAAAAAGTTAGGAAGACCCCACCTCAACAAACAAGCCAGGTGTGATAGTACCTACTTGTCCCAACTGCAGGGGAGGCATGGGGAGAATTGCAGTCCAAGGCCAGCCCCAAACAAAAACACATGACCCTATTCAGAAAATTACCAAAATACAAGGGCAAAAAAAGGCAATATAGAATGTTACTTAAGAGTACTTTGGAACCAGCCAGGCACTAGTGGCTCGGGCCTATAATCCTAGCTACTGAAGAGGCTGAGGTCCAGCGGATCACAGTTTGAGGCCAACCTGGACAAATAATTCAAGAGACACTATCTCCAAAATAGCGAGCAAAATAGGCTGAATGTACTGCAGGGATGGCTCAAACAGAATACCTGCTTTGCAAACACAATGCCCAGATTTCAAACCTCAGTCCCACCAAAAAAAGGAAAAAAGGATGGAACCTTACTAACTGGTGTGAATTCTGGCCCTCCCATTTAACTAGTTGTGTGACCTTAGGTAAATGACTTAACATCTCTGCCTCAATGTCCTCATTTGTAAAATGAAAATTATAGGTCTTACCACATAATGTTGTTGTAAGGGTTAAATGAATTAATATAAGGTTCTCAGAACAGTGTCTAGCGCAAAGGAAGCTCTGCATAAACAGTAGGTGTCATTAAGAAAACATATCACAGTGGCTAAGTACAGAATTCCTTTTTGGAAACCAATATTGCAGAGGGAGATAGGATAAGCCTCTTTTAAAAATGGAGTATTCAACCAGGCACCTGTGGCTCATGCCTGTAATACTAGCTACTCAGGAAGCAGAGATCAGGAGGATCTTGATTCGAAGCCAGCCCTGAGGAAACAGTTCGCTAGCTCAAAAAAAAAAAAAAATCACAACAAAGGGCTGGTGGAGTGGTTCACAGTATAAAGGTGTAGGCCCTGTGTTCAAGCCCCCATACTACAAAAAAAAAAAAAAGAGTATTCAGTCGTACATATACTTCGTTATCCTGTCAAAGCTTGTCACTACTCATTCTTAATTTGGAGAGTTCTTACTACCAAATAACCCTACTGGATCCTTTTTTTTACTTCTCTTAGCTATCAAATGAACAACAGAAAATGATAGAATTGTCTAATCTTGTCTACTGTACACTAATGTCTTATCCCCATTTTCTTTTCATTCCCTATCACATTTTCTATATAGTGTGTTCCAGACATTTTCTGTTGTCAGATGGGCATTTTAATCCCCCACATTAGGGTTGAGACTGACATGAATTCTTTTTATTTTTCATCTTTCCACACTCAGAAATCTTCACTTTCTTAGATTGTACTTAAATCTGAAGAGGAAGGGTCCTTATTCCTGATTTCATATGGTCGTATGTACTTCAGGGTGGCTTCTTGTGTCTTCGTTTTCTAATGTGTTTCCCATTACCTAGAAATAGTTTTAATTCACCTCTCCTTAAGGGAGGTGTAAAACTTCCTCAAGCATAGTAATTCCTTGGGCTGGGATGTAGCTTAGTGGTAGAGTTCTTGCCAGCGCCACAAAAAAACAAAACGTAGTAATTCCTGTAAGTTACTTCTTTTTTTCCTCTCCTTTTTCCACCTGCTGCTTCTCCCTACCCTCATATCTTTCTGTCTCTTCTATCCTGTCCCCACTCTCACTGCTCCACCATGAAACCAGGGAGCCTTCTTCCCCCACTAGTGACATTTCTTCATTATTTTTCCATCCATTTCTGAACCTTTGACTTTTCACTTTCTTCCCCATTGTAAAGAAAATACTCTTTGGGGTTACTAATGGTTCCTGAATCACTTGATCTGGTGTCTTTTTCTGTCTGTTTACTTCGTTTGGTTTGTTTTCTCTTGGTGGTACTGGAGTTTGAACTTCCCACCTCATGTGTGGTAGGCAAGCATTCTACCACTTGAGCAATGCCCCCAACCCCTTTCTTAGTCCTTTACTTCTGTATGGCATTTTACACTGAGCCCAACCACCTGCTTCTAGAAATGATCTTTTCCTTAGACTGCTATATCAACACCCACCAGTTCTTAATTCTATTTCTTTTCTTCTCCTGTACCTTTGTGAATTTAGGCATTCCCCAAAGCTGTATTTCTCTCTTGAAAGCTCCAGTCCATTTAATAAACGGAAAGTATCTATGCCTAACAGTGGGCTTGTGTTTTATTTTACTGTTTATTCTGAGCAACCTTGGGCAAGAGGCTCTGTAAACTTCAACTCTATCATCTGGTAACTTTTTTTTTTAATTCTGGCGGTACTGGGGATTGAACTCAGGGCCTCACACTTGCTAATCAGGCACTCTACCACTTGAGCCACTCTGCCGGCCCTTTTTTGTGTTGGGTATTTTGGATATAGGGTCTCCTGAACTATTTGCCTCCTAAGTAGCTAGGATTACAGATGTGAGCCATTATCGCTCAGCTTAATAACTTTTTTGTAAAACCAGATTTATAAGAGCAAAAGGACATTTTATGGGCTATAATGTGCTATTTGTTTTCTTTGATTTCCCTTGCTGATATAATTTCCATTCACTTCTCCCACTCTGTGAATTGGTGCTTCTGAATACTAGCCAGACATTTCCATCTGGATTTCCCAATTTGTTAATGATACCACCATCTTTCCAAGACATCTGAGTAAGCAAATACTTTGATTTCTCCTTTCCTTTGCCCTTCAGGTGCAACATATTGCTCAACTTGTGATCCCCTCACCTAAATGGCATCTGCCTTATAGTCTATGCCAGAAACTGCATTTCTCTCTCTGTTCACTGTACTACTGTCTCTGCTAATACAGAACATATTCTACTTTGTGTTCATATTCCAAGAATGCAGTTGAATCATTCTTTGTCTCCCTCAGTGATTTAGCACACTGCTTTTGTAGTTTGTTGTTTAGATTAAATATGTTTCAAGTCTAACTTTTTTTCCCCAACACTAGGTTTATGCTAAAACTATAGATGGGCAACAGACTATAATTGCCTGTATTGAAAGCCACCAGTTTCAGCCTAAAAACTTCTGGTAAGAAACAAATGTTCTCTTCTATTTGTATCTAACCTAATTTATATTGGAAAGAAACCAGCAGTCAAGGTTTGGTCTTTAATCTATGTTGGGATAGAGTATTTGATGTAGACACTTCAGTTCTCCATCTATAAAATGAGGGATTTAGACATTGTTTAGATTAGTTTATTGCTATAGCCGGGTGCTGATGGCTTACACCTGTAATTCTAGCTACTTGAGAAGCCAGGATAGGAAAGATTGCGCAGTTCCAGGCCAGTCCAGAACAAAAAAAGTTTGCAAGATCCCAGCTTGGTTTGGTGGCACACAACTGTCATCCCAGTGATGGTGGGAACATAATATAGGAGGATGGTGGTCCAGGCTGGCCTAAGCCAAAAGTAAGACCCTATCTCTCTCTAGCCCTATCTAACCAAGGCTAGAGGTGTGACTCTGTGGTAGAGTGACTGCCTAGCAAGTGCAAAGCCCTGAATCCAAACCCCACTACCACCCAAGAAAAAAAGACTTCTATAATGAGTGACAGCTGATGAATAATGTGCCCAGTTGAAAGTCTGAGTTCTGCTTGTGTTAGGGTTAATGTTATTTGGAGTAATTACATAACTCAGCAACCTAAGCAACCTGTCCATCTGCTTTTAGAAGAGTGGGCATGCATCTATTTCAAGGAGGAATGAATGAAAGGTGGAAGTTCAAATAACTTAGAAAAGACTTAGGTTAGGCCACTTGAATCCAAACTTATTTGAATAGACATAGCCTTAGGTTTGTCAAATGAAAAGTTGGAACATCTCTGCCTCAATAGCAGATCACTTCTTTCTATGCCTGTTACTAATTCTGCCACATTTCATGTGTATATTTTAATAGGAATGGCCGTTGGAGATCAGAGTGGAAATTCACGATCTCTCCACCTACAGCCCAGGTAGTTGGAGTGCTCAAGATTCAGGTGAGATTCCAGTGTACTTACAGATCATGGTTAAAACTTCACATTTTAAAAAATAAAGATGAATAGGGTGGCAGAATGGCTCAAGGAGTAGAGCACCTGTCTTGCAAATGTGAGGCCCTGAATTCAAACTCCAGTACCATCAATAAATGAGTGAATAAATTAATAAGTATGTTCTGGTATTAGAAATAAGGACAAGTAGAGCACTTGCTTAACATGCACAAGTCCCTGGGTTCAATCTCCAGCACTACAAAAGCAAGAAAGAAAAAGAAAAAGAAGTGAAAAGGAAGAGAAAAAAGATTCAGAGAATGGCTCAAGTGGTAGAGCACTTGCCTAGCAAGTAAGAGATCCTGAGTTCAAACTCCAGTACTGCCATACAAAAAAGTTTTTCTTTTTTAGACATTGCCACACCTAATCTCTATTTCTTTAGTATACCCCGTCAGGTCTGTGCTCATCACTCCTCTTACCAGTGTTAGTTAAACCTGCACCTTCTGATATCTTAGTTGAAAAATAATCAAATGGCCAGGTGTGGAGACGCATGCATATAATCTCAGTACTTGGAAGTTGAAGCAGGCAGATTCACAAGGTCAGGGCCAGCCTGGGCTACATAGTAAAATGCTGTCTTTTTTTAAAAAAAGGGTATGGCCCACCTGTATTTTAAATATCCTTAACCTCATCTGTTGGGATTTTAGCTGTTACATGTTTTTATTTAATCTAGTCTTTTTTTTTTCCCCCATATCTTTGCTATCATAATTTCTCAAGTATTACAGGACTTTCATTTCCCAACTTTTCCAGTAAATTTTTTAATTGGCTTTTCCTCTTTAGCCTCTTTTAGAAAGCCAAGAAGTAAAATTTCAGAGTTTGGGGGAAGATATAGAAAATCTAGGCAGGTGTAGTGGTACATACTTTAATCCCAAATACTCAGGTGTCTGAGGCAGGAGTCTTGCAAGTTTGAAACCATCCTGGGCTACCTCGCAAGCAAGACCCTCTCTCAATTTGAAGCCAGGCACCAGTGGCTCATACCTTTAATCCTAGCTACACAGAAGGCAGAGATCAGGAAGATCTCAGTTCAGAGCCAGCCCAGTCAAATAGTTTGTGAGACCTATCTTGAAAAACCCATCACAAAAAAAAATGGCTGGTGGAATGGCTCAGACAGTAAGAGGGCCTGCCTAGCAGATTAAAGGCCCTGAGTTCAAACCCTAGTGCTGCCAGAGAAAAAGAGGGGCTGGAGATGTAGCTCAGTGGTACAGCACTTGCCTAGCATGCACAACCACCCTGAATTCAATTCTAAGTACTGCAAGAGAAAAAAAAAACACACACAAAAAGAATGTCTAGCTTCTCTTGTCCACCTGGGCAGAGCTTATTTGTTCCCATTAAAGAAGACATCTGTTGTTTATTTATTTATTTTTATCCCTTAAACAGGGATATGTATTGGGTTCTTATTGCCCAGGGAAATCCGTTTATTTTAAATAAGATCGTGGTTTCTACCTAAATCTTGGCTGCTTAGTTATCCCTGTTGAAATATCCCAAGAAGAGCAACTTCTGATAAGATATTTTGGCTTTTCTGGATCAGGGATTTGTAACTTTTTGACAGAGGATAGCATTGGGAAGTAGTCCACGGATAAAGTTTTACCCCTGGAATTTGACCTATTTCAAATTCTAGCTCCTCTGCTTGCTAGTATGTGAACATGGGAAAGTTATTAAACTACCTCAAGTCTCAGCTGCAACATAAATTGATAGCAGTCCCTATCTCATAGTGTGTTTTATAAAGATTCAGTGAGCTAATATAAGTAATAAGTAAAATACTTTGCATTGTTCCTAACACATAATAGGGGTACTGCTCCTCTCCTCAACTTTTCTGCCTTAGCTCTAAAAACACATCTTGAGCTGGTGAGATAGCTCAGTGGTAGAATACTTGGCTGACATGCATGAAGCCCCGGGTTACATCCCCAGTTCTGAACCAAAAAACAGAAACACAAAACAAAAAAAAATATATATATATATGTAAATATATGGGCAGCCTTCAGCTGACAGGCAGACTGAAGTGGAGGCAGCCGTAATGTGCCTGAAAAAGAGAATTCTTTTGTTCAAATACCTCCTGGTAGTATAGACTAGATTTCTTGAGTCTGCTCAGGCTGCTATAATAAAATACCTTAGGCTATGTAATTTATAAACAGAAATTTATTGCTCCCACTTCTGGAGACTGAGAAGTCCAGGATTTACTGATTGCAAATTTAGTAACTGGTGAGGCCCTGATCTTCATAGATGATGCCTCCTTGCTGCATCCTCACTCAGTGTGAGGGGTGAGCACAGTGTCCTCAGAAGGCAGAAGCAGAGCAAGGGTGCTCAATAAAGCCTCTTCTATGAGGGTGGAGCCTTCCTGACTTAATCACTTCCCAGAGGTCCACTGTGGGTGATTAGGTTCCAACATAAGAATTTTGAGAGGACACCGACATTCAGACCATCACAGTGTATGAAGGAAATGTCATTACCTGGATTGCTACTGTCATCCTCCATGATAGGGTAAAGTTTGAATTCTGAATTGAATTTATAAGGTGCTTTGTTCTTCACAGTCTCTCTTCAGCTTCATAGCAGTGTCCACACATTCCTTGTCACATATATTCGTTGCAGTGAGGTCTTTGTTCTTCCCTCAGCTAAGCCAGTTGCACTCCATTCTCATACTCTTATTCCATTGGTGGACACCCTTCTCTACCTTGCACTTAGGTGACAGCTCTTATGTTCAAGATCTTGTTCAAATGCACTTAAGAAAAAAATACCATCATCCGATTCTGTATGGCCAGCTTGTAGTCATATTAAGATGGCTAAACCTATCTTATAAGCTGTCAAAACTTTTTTTTATTATTATTATTTTATTTTATCGTTTTTACATTTACTCACATGTATATACATTGTTTGGGCCACTTCCCCCACTCCACCAAAATTTCTGAACTTCACATGGCATTAGCTTGCTAGTTTGTGTCTTACATTGTGCTCCTTGATAAATGTTTTCATAGTTGTACTATCTTATTTTACCTTACATCTTGGGGATTGAACCCAGGGTCTCATGCATGCTAGACAGATGCTCTACCACTGAGCTACATCCCCAACCCTCAAAACTGCTTTTATCACACTTACTTTTATAGTCTACTTTATCAATGTTTAGTTTTCAGTCCTATCTAACCCTCACTTAAGTTCTTCCTCCTGCACCTAGTTAGATTCACTTACCAGTAATAGTAATGCATATTAGGATCCAATGAAAGTTCTTGGTTTTCACAAAGAAAAACTTAAGTTCAGGGCCCAGGCACAGTGGCTCATACCTGTAATCCCAACTATGAGGGAGATACAGGTTCAAGGATCTTGGCCACAGCAAAACACCAGGCTCTTAGCTGAAAAAGTAAAGCCAAAAGACCTTTGGAGGCATGGCTTAAGTGGTAGAGTGCTTGCCTAGCAAATACAAGGCCTTGAGTTAATTATTTTAATACTGTTAAGAGTGGAATTTTATTTATCTTTGTATTCACAATGTCTAGCACAGTGCCTGAAGTGTAGTAAGGGTATGATAAGTGTTTGTTGAACTTAATACTCAGTATTCCCTGCTAAGGAATTTTGTTCTGTTTTTTGTTTTGTTTTGTCTGTTTTGTTTCTGCGTTGCTAGGGATTGAACCCAAGACCTTATACATGCTAGGCATGTACTGTACCTCTTGAACCAATTACTTATTTATTTAAATTGTTTTCACAGTACTGGAGTTTGAACACAAGGTCTCACACTTGCCAGACAGGTGCTCTACCACTTGAGTCATGTCCCCATCCTGAAAGAGAATTCTTTACCTTTTATATTTTGGTGGTGGCGGAGGTGGTACTAGGAATTGAACTCAGAACTTCATGCTTGCTAGGCAGGTGCTCTACAGCTTCAGTCGCACCTCCAACCCTGAAAGAGAATTCTCTTTCTGGTTTTGTTTTGTTTTGTTTTGTTTTGTTGGTTTTTTGGTAAGAGAATTCTTAATCTGTAAATTTTAATACCACTGCAAATTGCCATTGGTTATATTAATTATTTATTGAAAATGGCTTACCAGCGCTGGGGATATAGCTTCAGTAATAGAGTACTTTACCTGGCTCCGTCAAACCCTGCATTGAATCCCCAGCATTGAGAAAAAAAGTATATATATATACATATTATATATACACTTTTGCCAGTTATGTTGGTGCACACTTGTAATCCCAGCCCTTGGGAGGCTAAAGCAGAAGATCCAAGAGCTCAAAGTTAACCTGGGCTATATAATGAGAGCCTGTCTAAAAAGAAAAAAGATGGCTTATCAATTTAAGAATAGCTTAAAGCGTGGATTTTGCACCCTCAGCAATAGGTTTCTATATGAACAATACATAAATTTGCTCAATTACTGTCTCATACAGGTTCACTATTATGAAGATGGCAATGTCCAGTTGGTTAGTCATAAAGATGTGCAAGATTTAATACCTGTTTCTGTGAGTATGCGATATTTAATGTCTGTTTCACTTGTGTATTATTTTTCTTTTAAAAAAATGAGTTTTACACCTCAGTGCTGATACTCTGATTTTAAGGGCTTAAGAGAAACTTCTTTATCTTTCTTGCTCTCTCTTTTTTGTTGTTTTTTTTTTTTTTTCTGTTGTGCTGGGTGGGGGTACATTGTAGCATTTATAAAGGTTCTTACAGTGTATCAGATATATTATACTTGAATTCACCCCCTCCACTGCTCTTTCATCTCCTTCTCCCAATTCCTGAAACAGTTTCAACAGGTATTATTTTTGCATTTACATACATCTGTTTACATTATTTGTGCCATATTCATCCTCCTACCCCTTTCCCCACCACCTCCCGCCTCCCACCAGTACACACTCTCTCTCTCTCTCTCTCTCTCTCTCTCTCTCTCTCTCTCTCTCTCTCTCTCTCCTCCTGTTCTGATTTTGTAGAAGAAGAAACATAAAAGAGAAATGTGGCATTTTTGCTAGTTTGAGATAAAGATAGCTATATAGGGAGATTTCTTGTGTTGTTTCCATGCATACATGTATTTCAACCCCAATTGGTTCATTTCTACCAATCTTCTTCACTACTCCGTAGTCTCCTTCCCATAGTGACCTAGGCCAGTTTAAGATTACTGTATTCATTCCTATACGTGAGCACATTAGCCACATTCAAATTTTTGGTTTCCTTCCCTTGCCCTATTCCACCTGTGCGCTTGGCCTCTCCTTAGTATGTGTGACCCCTGTCAAAGTAGACTTTTGGCCTTCTGAGCCTGACTAACTTCACTTAAGATGATGTTCTCCAATTCCGTCCATTTACCTCCGAATGACAAAATGTCATTCTTCTTTGTGGCTGAGTAAAATTCCATTGTATATAAATACCACATTTTCTTAATCCATTCATCAGCAGTAGGGCATCTTGGCTGTTTCCAAAGCTTAGCTATTGTGAATAGTGCTGCAATAAACATGGGTGTGCAGGTACATTTGTAGTAACCTGAGTCACATTTCCTTTGGGTATATCCCTAGGAGTGGTATTGCTTCATACTCTTTCTCATAGTGGTTGTACTAGCTTAGATTCCCACCAGCAGTGTATGAGGATTCCTTTTTCCCATATCCTCGCCAACATTTGTTATTGGAGGTGTTCTTGATGGTAATAGCTATTCTGACAGGAGTAAAATGGAATCTTAAGTGGTTTTGATTTGCATTTCCTTTAGGGCCAGGGATGGGAACATTTTTTCATGTGTTTTTTTAGCTATTTGGATTTCTTTCTTTAAAAAAGTTCTGTTCAATTCTTTGCCTGTTTCTTTATTGGGTCATTGATTTTTTGGAACTTTAGTTGTTTGAGTTCCATGTGTATTCTGGTTATCTGTCCTTTATCTGATGTATAGCTATCAAAGATTTTCTCCCATTCTGTGGGTTGCCTCTTCAAATTAGAAACCATTTCTTTTGTTGTGCAGAAGCTTTTTAATTTCATGTAGTCCCATTTATCAATCCTTCCTCTTAGTTGCTGAGCTGCTTGAGTTCTACTGAGGAAGTCCTTGCCTAAGCCTGTTGGCTTCCAGTGTATTCCCTGCTCTTTTCCTGCACTAACTTCAAGGTTTCAGATCTGATATTAAGGTCCTTAATCCACTTTGAGTTGATACTTGTACAGGGTGACAGGCATGGATCTAGTTTCAGTTTTCTGCAGGCAGATATACAGTTTTCCCAGAAACATTTGTTGAAGAAGCTGTCTTTTTTTTCCATCGTATGTTTTTGGCACCTTTGTCAAAAATTAGGTGGGTGTAGCTGTATGGATTCATATCTGGGTCCTCTGTTCTGTTCCACTAGTCTTCATATCTGTTTTTGTTCCTGTACCTTGCTGTTTTTATTGCTATGGCTCTGTAGTATAGTTTGAAGTTGCATATTGTGAAACCTAAAGAGCTAAGCTCTTTTTGCTTAGCTATTTGTGGTCTTTTGTGTCTCCAAAGGAACTTTGGGATATTGTTCACTCTCTGTGATGAATGTCATTGGGATTTTGATGGCAATTGCATTGAACATATAGATTGCTTTTGGTAGAATAGCCATTTTTACTACTCTGATTCTGCCAATCCTTGAGCACGGGAGATCTTTCCACCTTCTGTAGTCTTCTTCGATTACTTTCTTCAGTGGTTTATAGTTCTTCTTATAGAGGTCATTTACATCCTTTGTTAAGTTTATTCCTAGGTATTTGATTTTTTTTTTTGAGACTATTGTAAATGGAATTGTTTTCCTATATTCTTTCTCAATCTGCTCATTGTTAGTATATAGAAAGACTACTGATTTTTGTAAATTGATTTTGTATACTGCTACGTTGCTGAAGCTGTTTATGGTATCTAGGAGTTTTGGGGTGGAGTTTTTCAGGTCTTTTGGGTATAAGATCACATCATCTGCGAGTAGAGATAGTTTGACTACCTCTTTACCTATTTGTATTCCTTTTATTTCTTCTTCCTGTCTTATTGCTCTGGTTAGGAATTCTAAGACTATATTGAATAGAAGTGGGGAGAGTGGGCACCCTTGTCTTGTTCCTGACTTTAGGGGAAATAGTTTCAGTTTTTTCCCATTAAATATGATGGTGATTATAGGTTTGTCATCCATAGCCTTTATTATGTTGAGGTACATTACTTCTATTCCTAGTTTCATCAGAGCCTTCATCATGAAATGGTGTTGAATCTTATCGAAGGCTTTTTCTGCATCTATTGAGATGATGAAGTGGTTTTTGTCTTTGTTTCTGTTAATGTGCTGTATTACATTTAATGATTTGCATATGTTGAACCATCCCTGCATTCCTGGGATGAAGCTGACTTGGTCATGGTGTGTGATCTTTCCTATATGTTGTTGGATTTGGTTTGCCATTGTTTTATTGAGGATTTTTGCATCAATGTTCATTGAGAAGATTGGCCTGTAGTTCTCCTTTTTGGATGTGTCCTTGTCCAGTTTTGGGATGAATGTTATACTGGCTCCATAAAAGAGTTAGGCAGTGTTTCTTCCCTTTCTATTTTGTGGAAGAGTTTAAGGAGTGTGGGTATTAGTTCTTAAAGGTCTAGTCAAATTCAGCAGAGAATCTGTCAGTTCCTGGACTTTTCTTTTTTGGGAGACTCTTTATTGCTGTTTCAGTTTCATTGCATATCGCAGATCTGTTTAGGTGATTAATATCCTCTTGGTTTAGTTTTGGATGACCATACGTGTCTAGAAATTTGTTTATCTAGATTTTCCAGTTTATTTGAATATAGGTTCTCAAAGTAGTCCCTGATGATTCCCTGGATTTCCTTGGTGGTGTTATCGCCCCTTTTTCATTTCTGATTTTACTAGTTTGGGTCTTTTCCCTCCTCATTTTAGTCAGATTTGCCAGGGTTTGTCAATCTTGTGTATTTTTTCAAAGAACCTGCTTTTCGTTTCATTGATTCTTTGTATTTTTTTTTTTTTTGTCTGCCTTTCATTGATTTCAGCCCTTATTTTTATTATTTCTCCTTCTGCTTCTTTTGGATTTAGCTTGTTCTTTTTTTTCTAGGAGTTTTAGATGTAGCAGTAGGTCATTTATTTGAGGTCTTTCCATGTTTTTAACATATGCATTCATGGCTATAAACTTTCCTCTTAGGATTGCCTTTGCTGTGTCCCATAGGTTCTGATAGGTTGTGTTTTCATTTTCATTAACTTCCAGGAAGTTTTTTATTTCCTCCCTTTCTTCTATGATCCCCCTGATCGTTGTCTTGCTCTCTCTCTCGCTCTTTCTGAATTGTAAGGTTTGCAAGGTCAATAAATACCAGGGACATGGAAAGTTTGCCAAACTAAATCTCATAAAGTTGCAATCCTATCAGAGGAACATTTTTAGGAGTGTTCAATCTGAAGGATTGAAAGAAGAATTTCGTTCTTGAATTTTTTCTTTCATAGTGCTATTACTTTGTCATATTCGTAGAAGTAATTGAGTACTCCCAGAGAGCATTTGCTTATGTGTGTTGTATTTATTGATATTTCCATTATTAAAAATTAAAACTGCCAACCACATATACATGCATGCCTGTAATCCCAGCACTCAAGAAGCTGAGGCAGGAGGATCAAGAGTTTGAAGCCAATAATGAACCACACAAATTGTGCAATTAATTAACACTTAATAATTTTTTTTAATTAAAAAACATTTGAGGCCAACATGGACTACATAGCTGTGCACCATGAGGTCCCCAAGCTGGGCTAAAGGATTGCTTGAGCCCAGGAGTTTGAGACCAGCCTGGGCAACATAACCTCCTCCAAAAAGAGGGGGAAAAAAAACCCAAAAACTTGATCAACCCAACGTAAGAAACATTTTCATGAGGGAAAAAGAAATCCAAAACAAAGAAAATAGAAGAATAACATTTATACCTCACAAGTTGTCAATGTGTAAATTCTTAGCTAGATTCTCATATGTGCTTCATACATTCGTACCGTGTCAATATGGATTGACTTTCAGTATCTTTTTATTCACTGCTTATACATTTTTAAAAATTATTTCTTTCTGCTCTTCCTCCATTAGAATGAAGTCCAAACTGCCAAGGAGTTCATTAAAATCATAGAGGGTGCAGAAAATGAGTATCAGGTAAGAAGATTAGGCTCTTAATTTTTCTATATCCAGACCCTTATTATCTCACTGTTAACATATATTGTTAGATCTGTGTCCTTTAACATAAAATGCATAAGCTGTTTGTTCAGTGCTAAAGACTTCCCAGCACTTTATAGACCTTACAATTTGGCATTGTGTTTATAATTAAGGTTTTGAGATTGTAGCTTGAGTTTTAGTAACATATAGGTGAGCCTCTTGGTTTGCTTCAGAGAAGTAAAAATGGTATGTCCTCTGTCCTTTGTAGCATGTCCTTTGACTGTAGGGTTACCCCATTTCTGTTGAAGCAACTCATCTTCAATTATCTGTTGCAGACAGCAATTAGTGAAAACTATCAAACAATGTCAGACACCACTTTCAAGGCCTTGCGCCGGCAACTTCCAGTTACCCGCACCAAAATCGACTGGAACAAGATACTCAGCTACAAGATTGGCAAAGAAATGCAGAATGCTTAAAGGCTGACTGTAGGATTCTTCAGTATGTGGAAAGAAAAGGATTCAACACATGGTCATATGATAAATAAGTGATTTATAAACAAGAGTGATATTTTGCTAGGGCTTTCAAAGTTAACAGATTTTCTAGCCTCATGAAATACTGTTGAACCTATAGCATTGTCTGTGTGTGTGTGTGTGTGTGTGTGTGTGTGTGTGTGTGTGTGTTCTCTGACTTGTAATTTTCTCTTATCACTATATCTACTTGTAAATTTTTTGTTTGTTAATTCTGCTACATTTAATGTTGGAGAGATCTATCCTGGAGTTATTTTACTGCTTAGAAAATTTTCCTAGCCATGATGTCCTGTTACTGATTTAAGCAGATAATATGTTCAGTACCTTTTTTTCACCCCCTGCTTCTAAGCACTTCTGGTACTTCAGTGGTTTTTACTGATCCACCAACAGCTAAAGAGACTCTACGAACTGTAGCTAAGTGGAAGACACATTCATCCTGCTCCCTCTGACTGCTTTGATCATCACTTACAGCAGCATCTCATAACTGTAGTTTGCAAAAGTTGGATTGGGGCTTTTCGGGTCCATTTTGGGGGCAAAGGAAGTTTTCTGAAAGTTCCATGATAGCCAGCTTTTCTGAGGACCTTGTTTTTAAATCCAAAGACTTGAACCACATTCCCTGCACATGAATATGCTTGCTTTTTTTCATCTCCTCATTGTCTCCTTCTTAAGTAATTATAAGCATCTGCATTTTTAGGGGAGTTCTGCCTATTTATGTTTTTGTTCTAATATCCAAGAACTGCTGACTTACTGTAGATCTGGTGGAGTATAAAACTTGAAAAATGCAGACGTTGAAGGAATAATAGATATCTTGTGCTTTAATACTTTGTGGCAGATTGTACTATAAGCAAATGAATCAAACAACTATGTAAATCACAAAAACTAAAAATGAACCAAAGTGAAAAGGATAACTTCCAGGCAGTATCTTTGTATTGTAACCTGTTATTTAAGGGAATACTTAGTGCTTTCTTCTAAATAGATGTAAAACTTGTTCCAAATTATTCTTCCTCAGTCCAGCCTGCCAAGAACTCATGTAACTGTGATATAGCAACCCTTCCCAGGTATATTGGCAGGTACGTGTGATCTCAGAATATGCAGGGAACATAGATATGATATGGTAATGGTGGATTCATTTACATTGTTTACACTTCTATGACCAGGCCTTAAGGGAAGGTCAGTTTTTAAAAAAAAAAAAAAAAAAAAACAAGTAGTGTCTTCCTTCCTGTTTCCAAATACATGTCAAAAAAGAAGGGTGTTTATGCTTCAGCTGTTTTTGCTCAGTAATACAGTCAAGCAAAGTTTGTTTCCAAGTAAAAGCTGTGTAAGCATTTTTATTTCAAATAAAATATATTTGTATTATTTGTCATTCATACTATCCATCCATACCACATACCTTCTGTATCAGGTAGTCTAATAGAAATATACCTGTTTTGTTCTAAAATTGTGTGTGTTTCCTTTCTGACCCATCTCTTCAGACTTTGTTCTCAAGGAAAGATAATTCAACTATAATTGGTCTTACTTGTTGAGAATGTGTAGGATTTCTGAAATAGGTTCCAACTTTGAACTACTAAAATATCCAAGTACAGGTGATGAGCAGCGACTTTTTTTTTTCCAGTGTGAGCAAAGTCTGTGGATCATAACCACTCTCCACCCAGAAGCTATTAGTGATTCATAGGTTTTGTTTTGAGATGTTCATTAATGTCAAAAGAAAAAGTCTAGTTATCTTCTTTACCCATTTTTAGAAAGTAAGGACTAAGTATGATTGTGGTTGCTAGCAAGAAGTAAAAAAGAAAAGAAAATCCCTGCAGCTTGAACTTGGGTAATATTTCACATTGACTTAACTCTAAATGCTGCTCTCCTCTCTTCCACCTCTGGGTTAGCTACTGATGACCTGTGGGAAAGACTTTTATCCTGGTTCCCAGGAGAGAACCAGAGGGAGTTTATGTTTCACCCACCATCCAAGGTCAGTTCAGATTCCTTTTTTTGTTTTGTTTTGCTTTTTTGTTTTTGACACAGGGTCTTGCCATGTAGTTCAGGCTGGCCTTGAACTTTCCTCCCTTACTCTCCCAGTACTGGGATTACAGGGTGGGCCACCAATCCCAGCTAAATTCCCTCCTTTTTGAGGACATTTAACTATACTCCATTCTGGTAATGTCACCAGATTCAAATGTTCTTGCCTTTAACTTGTTAACTCCATCAGCCTGCCTCCACGCTGTCTCATTAATTTCTTCCAGAAAAACTTAATACCTGCTTTTTTTTTTTTTTGTCGTGGTTTTGGGGTTTGAACTCATGGCTTCATGCTTGCTAGGCAGGCACTCCACCACTTGAGCCACACCTCCAGCCCCAGAAAGACTTAAAAAATTAAAATAAACCTCTTAAACTCAGGGCTAAGTCCTTAGCTACTACAGAAACCTCCTGACTTCTTCCTTAGCAGATTTTTGCTTGAGTTGTATTATTTCATCACACAACTGCTGAAATCAATATCCTAGGACATAGGTTTCTCAGCCAGATGGGAAAGGGGTTTTGGTGAGACCTCACTCTTATATTTAGGTTTGAAATGACACTGCTGAAAGTTGTGTTTCATCTTACTTCAGCAATTTTCTTGCTATTGGTTGCCTAGTTCCAGTACCTGTTCTCTGTTTCATAGAGAACTTTGATGCTGGACTAATCTAGGTGCATGAGCTACTTGGCAGACATTGGCACATTCTCTCCATAATCAAATATGACTATATATCTAAGTGCCAGCTCATTTACAGGTTATTTAAGATTTTGTTTTTCAGTCTTTTGTGTGGTTTTGGGTTTGTTTGGTCTATTTGTTTGAGACTGGATCTTGTTATGTGGCCTAGGCTGGCCTCAAACTCAAGATCCTGCTGTCTCAGTCTCCTGAGTGTGTGCTTTGCTATGCCCAACCCTGTTTTACAGTTCTACATAGACTACCAGGTGAACCAGATACTAATGACCACCTTCTAGATGCCGTCTGTGAAAAATTAAAGAAGGATGGTAAATTTAGAACAAAACTGGATGGTCATATAGCATGTGTTCTCCTTCGAACAGACAGGATTTATAAACATGGAATAAAGATACATACCCTCTGAGGGTAGAACCCAATATAACACTTCTTCAAATCCAAGTTCTCTAAAAGCATTCTGTTATGTGCAGACACAATTCTCATTGTTCAGGCATAGTTAGATTTTGTAAAGTCACTGCTAATGATACTGGTGGGTGGTCTGAGAAGACCCTGCTCCTGAAGATCTCAAGTCCTTAGCATCCTGAAGAAAGAATTGGACTGAAACACAGGGATTGTAGAGAAGCAACAATGTTTTAGTGAAAGGAGAAAGTACACAAGAGGTGAGCACGGGCTCCAGTGAGGTAGCTCAAAGAGCAGCACCAATGCTCAAGAGCCCCAATGCCTTGCTGCAGAAGAGAATTTATATACTATAAGAGCTAAGCATGGACTGGCAGAGTAGCTCAAGTGGTAGAGTGCCTGCCTAGCAAGCCTGAGGCCCTGAGTTCAAACCTTAGTATGCCAAAAAAAATAAAATGGGCGATCTGATTGACAGATTTGACTGACAACTAGTTGCGTAGCTATGAAAAGTGCATGGCTACTCAGCACTTACAAGTATATGCATCAGATGCAATCCATATTCATAAGACTATAGTTAGGGACTAGCTGGGTAAAAAATGTTACTTTGAAGCATGATTTTTCCCTTGTGCACATGCTCAGGTTAGGGTTTGTGTCAGTCATCTCACTTAAGATCCTGTGATTAGTTGTTGCCATAGCTTTTAGCAGCAAAAGGGACTCTGTGGGGGGCGTGGTTCTGGGTGGACCTAGACCACCTGGTCTCAGTAGGATGACTTGAAAGGGTGACAGCAACCTACTTTCTCTACCTTTCCTGCCTAACACTGAACTAATGAGTACTGTTAACTTTTGAATGAAGCTTTTTTTAACAGGAATTTTCTCAGTAAAGCCTTCTTGTGCTTAGGAATACTAGACAACACTTCAGCACTATCCTTGGGCGCCACTTTAAGCAGCAAAATGACTCAGATGCGTAAGGGGTGGGGGGAATGGCATTAAATCAATTAGGAAAAGGACAAGAAAGCAGAGATCTGGGGATGTAGCTTGGTGATAGAGTGCATGCCTAGCATGTACAAGGCCCTGGGTTCCATTCCCAGCACTGGAAACTTAAAAAAAACAAACAAAAACCTACTGAGGACATACACTTCAATAGTTCAATAGGCATGCCCCAAAGAAGGCAAAGCATCAGTGTTCTGCCTCAGCTGGAAAACATCTATCTTCCATTGCTCTGCATTTTCCTTGAACAACCGTAAAAGCACTACAAGTTACTAATAAATATTAGCATGTGAATTTGCAAATACAGGATCTTCAAACAAGGAGGATCAACTGTGTCTGCCAAATCTTTTGTTTGTTCTGTGGTAGGCTAACCAATTTCAGTATTTCAGTTTAAGAGCTGTTTCTAGTTGCCTTAAGCGACATAGCCTAGTTTGAATACATAAGGTCTGAGAGCATTCAAATGATGACTTACAGAACCCCTGTAAGTAGAGAATAAGCTTCCATCTTGGAAGGCTACAGGTTTATTCCAGTGATGCTTTTGTTCACTTTCAGACTATCTCTAGGGTTGTTTGGACTCATGCTAAAATCAACCTTACTGTGAAGCTGGATTCTTGTAAGTGCAGATAGATTTAAGGAAGGCTTCAAAGAAACAGACTGAGCTGGATGTGAAAGGGAGGAAGACCATTCATTGTACACATCTTGAACTGCACTGTGAAAATAACAATTCCATGTGTTGGGTCTGGGGATCAGAAGACAAAATGAGCCAGTGCCCCCAACCCCCATGAGAGCACTGCGAGCCCTATGTCCTGTAAAGGGGCCCATGGGGATGCCTCAAAAAGCCACAAGGTAGATAACGAGGAGGCTTTCACAGGACTGTGCACGTGTTCCTGCAGATATACGTTAAAAGACCACTCCATCCCTGACTCCTGCACCTCCCCTCTCCAACAAAAAAGGACCAAATAACTGCCCCCCCATCACCACCAATGTAAACAACAGGGAGATACCGATTTTCAGGGCTCCCTGTCTGTCTCTACAAGCAGCTCTTCCTCTCTAATAAATCCTACTTTGTGTGCTGACAAGTCAGTCCACTGCCTCACGAGCCAGTTCTTTGGCCCAAATTGGCTGGTGAAGGCAAGAACTCTCCACACGGGCCCACAACACATGTAAAGAGGACTTTCCCAGACAAAACTGACTTAGAGATGTTCACTGTAACCATAGCCATAAAGCATCATGTTTTTACATAATAAAGCTGTTTGTGTGTTTTGAGAATATCCAGGAGACAGGTTTGACCAAAGAGTGGTAAGGTTATGTGTCCAGGAATAAATGAGAACTTAGATTTGCTTGATGAGAAATAAGCCAAGCATTTGGTTTGGGTGTGGTGGATGGTAGGCTTTTGAGATGGTAAGCAACAGCAATTTGTTTTGGAGAGGTCTTACTATGTAGCCCAGCCCCAGCATCCTGAGTGCTTGGATTACAGGTGGGACAACCATACCCAGATTTTGAGTGGCAGCAATTTTGAGGATACCCTCTTTACTCCTCTGGGGCCTCACCAAATAATTGAGGGGGGAAGGTAAAACCTTTGGCTACCTTCCTAGTTTTTTCCTGTACTTTGCATAATCAATTCCTAGGACATAAAAATTTCCCCTGCTCTTATTTTTCCATCCCTGTAGCTTTGATGCTAACATTGCATTTCCTGTTCTTAAAGCTTGTTCCTGGCTTTCTTTGGTTGTTGGCCTGGGAGAAGTTACAAGGTTAGCCCAGCTGGAGCATGACCTTGGGGTCTGGAGGTTCCTCACACTAGGTTAAAGTAGTGTGCGGCCTGCGGTGGGGACTTAAGTTGTAGAACAACACTAGCTTTGATATATTTCTTTTATATGTAACTTGTCTTTATCCCATCCTAGTGGGTGTTTTTGTTATTTTGTTCTGGAAGATAAATAGAAAAGACTTGTTCTATTTGTTTCCCCGTGGTTGCCCCACCCCCTTTAGTTTGTCTGACAGTCTCTTCAACTCATTGGTCTTACTTCTTTTCCTGGTACTGATGCTGTGTTAACTATTTATTGCCTTAACACAACAGTACCTTGCTCCCACGGAACTAATTATATATTGGTGACTGGGGCAGCTCTGACTTAATGCAATTAAAGAGTGTCCAACTATATGGTTCAAGGCTAAGAATCACCAGCCTATCAACATAATGAAGCCTGTGTACGGGAGAACCTCTTCTTGGCAGAACCTCTTGTCCCTATCTCCCACACGTACACACCTTTATCTCAGAGACGCTTGGTTCCCCCCCGCCCCCCCAGCCTTGCGACCCCCCCAACGCCGCAGCTTTGACTCTAGCCCTCCTCCCCACGTCCGAAAGCCTGAAAAAGGTCAACTTGGGGGAGGGGGCGTGCCGCCTGCTTCCGTACTGGTTTTTGTCCCTGGCAGGCTGGGGGGGGAGGTGCTGGATGAGCAGCCCCAGTCCAGCTGCAGCCGACCCATGTCCAGGTCCCTGCCCTTTGCTCTCGGGCTTTTCAATAAGGCTCAGGAGGGTGGGCGTGGGAGCAGCCCTACTGAGACTTAGAGATCCGCCCTACAGTTTAGGGGGCCCCAGGCAATCGCCAGGCTCGGCTACTGGCTGTAAGCCAGGGGAGGAAGCTTGGGGTAAGGGGAGGGCCCTGAGGGAGGGGTCAGACTCCTTAGCAAAGAGTTAATGCGAAGAGGGGGAGGGGATAGGACCGGGAGTCCGGAGGGAAGGCTCAGGTAGGAGAAGGACGGAGGACCGGAGGTTTGCGGGGAAGAAGGGGCCTGCAGGATCAGGGGGTGGAGGCGGGAGCTTTTCCCCTTGTGCACCCTCATCCCTGGGCCGCAAACTTAACAGCCGCGGCGGCGACTTTCAGTTTCATTTCCACCGACCCTCCTGCCTGGGCCGCAGCCGCCGCCGCGATGCCCAGCAAGTTCAGCTACCGGCAGCTCCGGGAGACGGGCCAGGGCTTCGAGAGTTTCCTGGCCGACCGGGGACTGGAGAAGGAGACGGATCGCGAGCGGCTGCGGACCATTTATAACCGCGACTTCAAGACCAGGTACGGGCCGGCCCACCCCCGGCCCCGAAGCGCGCGGGGGCCCCGGGGCGCGGGAGGGAGGGACGTGGTCACTCCCACTCCCCAATCCCTAGTCCCTAGAGGATCTGGCGGGTCCACTGGCTCCCGCGCCAGCCCACGCCCCGCCCGCCGGTGCTGCACGGCCCGGTGCCCGGGGACAGCCGCCCAGGGTCCGGGCTGCGCGCGCGCGCGCGCGCGGGGTCCGCGGGGCTGGGGACAGCGCTCGCGCGCGTGGGGGAGGGGAGTCGCGGGGCGGGGGGGACAGGCTTTGCGGGCGCTGCCTGCTGGCGCGGGCTTCACGGGGATCTCCCCCCCCTGGTTGAGGGGCTGCAGCCTCGGGGATCCCCTATCTGTGAAAGCTGCAGAGGCCCAGTGCAGGAGGGAGAAATCTCGGGGAGATCAGTCAGGGTTGGGGGAAAAGGCATAAACTACCTACGCACCAAACCTCCATTAACACCTGTGGCTTCTCCATGGAGACCCGGGGCCCAGGACGGCCTCCGGGAGGCCCCTCTCACCCTGTGGCTGAAGATGTTTGGTCTCCTTTTCCTGTTGCCAACCAAGTGAAAATCAAAGAGACTTCTGTCAAACCGTAGACGTGTGCTTCAGAAACGCCTCTATCAACAGGCTGCTGCCTTGGGCAGAAAACCAAAAAAAGAAAGAAAGAAAGAAAACAAAAAACAGTAACAGGGAGCAATATGAAGAATTGTGCAAGTAAATTTGGGGACTGGGGCTTAATAATAGTAACAGATCGCATGTAAAAGACTTTGGGTTGTAGCGAACCGAAAGTCCAGGAGTGACATGGCTGCTAGTTTTGTGGGAATCTTAGATTGAATTAACTGTGTGGCTTGGGGTTGGAGGAGATAAGGATTCTCCATAGTGACCAGAATATTGTTTCTGGAATATTCTTTTCACTAATGGGTATCACATTTTTAATGGAACAGTAATAGGCTTGAGCAGCATCTGCAGAAGAGGTAATGATGAACATTTGCTTTGAGTCCCACACGGAGCTAGGCACTGTGGGAACACAAGGATGAAAAATGTCCAGTCCCCGGGGAACGATAAATGCTACTAAATACATACAATATACATGTATACAATATACTGTGCAACAGGATAAAATTAAAAGAGGATGATAATATAGATAATAAGGAGGACAGTAAAAAGCAGTTACCCTTGGAACACATCCTATCAACACTTGCCATGTACATGAATTCACCTTGCCTGTAGGGGAGGAGGGGCTGAAGGGCAATCCCAATACAGAAAAAATAGCTGGGGAGGGGGTCAGGGTGAAGAATTTGCTAAAAGGAAACAGGAAGACTGAGGGGACTCTTGCTAAACTGACCCAAAGAAGGATTCTTGTTAAAGACAGACCAAAGACACATCAAAGTGTGGCGGAGGAAGGAACTTGATCAGATGTTGACAGATCTTATATTCTGGTAACAAATGACTTAGCAGCCTTCTTTCTAAAACAGAGCTAGGCAGGCCTAGGACGAAAGGCCTAGGGAGCCAAAGTCAATGCCTCCTACCTGGGAGAGGGCTCAGAGGAGCCTGACTATAGTTTGATGGAGTAGAGTCTGTCAGCTCTAAGCCAAAGATAAATACTGTGTTTCAGTATGGGGGGAGGGACCAGCTTTGTTGGATTGCATACAAAAAACCATATATGTCTACATTCTGAGTAAATTTAGGGCTTTTTTTTTGGCAGTACTGGGGTTTGAACTCAAGACCTTATGCATGCTTGCAAGGCAGATACTCTACCACTTGAGCCACACCTGCAGTCCAAATATAGGGATTTTCAACATAATTTTTTTTTCTTTGGTTTTTGGGCTTTTATTTATTATTTAATTATTTATTTATTAAGATAGATCTCTCTCCACTCAGGCTCTCTGTGTTCAAGCAGTTCTCCTGTCTCAGCTTCAAACACCATGCCTGGCTACTATTTATTTATATTTATTTATTTAGTAGTGCTGGAGATCTAACCCAGGGCCTGTGCATGCTATGCAAATAAGCACCTAGCCCAAAGTAATTTGTATTGTATGTACTTGTTTTTTATGCAAATAAGACAAGAAGTTGACCTTGGCCTTGAAGGACGGATACAATTTTAGTACACAGGAGAAAAGGCCTCTTTGTGGTCTCATATTCTATCATGCAGCCTAGTCAAAGAAACAGAAGTATTTTCCTTAAAAAGAAAAATCAGAGAGAACAAGATAGTTATCTTTGAAGATTTTAGCAACTGTCTTAAGTGGACAGTGTTATACTCCCGAGACACTCCAAAGGGCAGAAGTAGATTTTGTCAACATGGCCTCTCCTCCCCAGCTGGTGGGGGAGAGTTCTGTTTGGATTAGAGAGAAGTTTCCTGTGCTTTAAAGGCAAGCTGGAGTGCTATGAAGGCAACCCTCAGCCTCTCAGTGGGAATTCATGGCTTCCTCTGAGCTCGCATACCTAGTTCTTCATACATTGGGTCAAGTCTAGATATCACTGGGGTACACGCTGCTTCTCACTACAGCTGCTACCAAGCTGTCTTCCCTGCCAGACTGTCACATCCTCAAATGGAATGTGCATGAAGTAGATAGCCAGGGAATGCTTGCAGAATCCAACTGAATTAGGGTTGTCAAACAAGAAAATGGGTTGTAGCAAGAATGGACTGTATTGGGTCACCCTTGTCAGGAATTCTAGTGACATTTCTACACTGGGAGGGACAGGTCCCTTCCAACTAGCTGATGTTATGTCGTTATGAAATACTCTGTGCTCAACTCTTGCCTCTCCCACTTATTCATTTAGCAAGTGGAGTTTTGTTTTTTTATGGTTTTTTGGTACTGAAGTTTGAACTCAGGGCCTACACCCCCAGCCACTCCATCAGCTCTTTTTTGTGATCAGTTTTTTCAAGATAGGATCTCACTAACTATTTGCCTGGGCTGGCTTTGAACTGCAACCCTCCTGATCTCTGCCTCCTGAGTAGCTAGGATTATAGGCGTGAGCCACTGGCGCCCCCAGCTAAATACTTGTCTTTCGTAACTGTCTTGTCTCCCTTTTGTTTTCCTCCTTATGCAGGCCTACTTACCTTGCACCTGTGTAAGTTTGCATACGTGTGGGCCCCTCCCTGTATCAGCATCTCTCTTCCTTCTCCACATTCCACCTATGCTCAGGTAACTCGTGATAGCAACCATCGTATTTTTGGTCATTATTGTTTGTTTTTGTATACACATTTTCCACATACAACCTTTTTTTTTTTTTGCAGTACTGGGGTTTGAACTCAGGGATTCCTGCTTGCTAGGCAGACACTACTGCTTGAGCCATGCCTCCATCCCCACTTTTGTTTTTGTTTTTTTTTTTTTTTTTTGAGTCAGAGTCTCTGTAGCCCAAGCTGACTGCCTTAGCCCTCAAGTGCTGATATTATAGGCATGTACCATTACTTCCAGCTCACTTTTTTTTTTTTTTTTCAAAGTTCTGAATATTGAAGTCAGGGCCTCGCACCATGCTAAGCAAGCACTATATCTACTTGATATAGTGCCTTCAGTTCTTTTGATTTAGTTATAGGACTGGGATCCTCCTATTTATTCCTCCCATATGGCTGGGGTGACACTTGTGTGCCACCACACCCACCTTTATTGGTTGAAAGAGGTTTCATTAACTTTTTGCCTGGGCTGGCTTTGAACTGGGATCCTCCAGATCAGTCCCAGATAGCTTGAATTACAGACATGACCCATAATACCCATCATCACTTTCCTTATAACTTTGTTTTTTCCTTTGGCAGTACTTGGGTTTGAACTCAGGGCCTCACACTTGCTAGGCAGGCACTCTACTACTTGAGCCATTCTGCCAGCCCACTTTTCGTAATTAGCTTTTTACACATATGCCCTGCAATCCAACAGGCTATCTAACAAGTCATCTTTGTGTGTGTGTGTGTATGTGTGTGTGTGGTACTAGGGCTTGAATTCAGGGCCTACACCTTGAGCTACTCCACCAAACCTTTTTTGTGATGGGTTGTTTTCAAGATAGGGTCTTGGGAACTACTTGCCTGGGCTGGCTTTGAACCACAGTTCTCCTGATCTCTGCCTCCTGAGTAGCTAGGATTACAGGAGTGAGCCACCAGTGCCCAGTCCTAGCAAGTCACTACACTTTACCTCTTAACACTCCAACATGATTATCATTAACTAAAATTGTAACAAAATTATCTTTTGCCATGCCAGAGTATCAAACCCAGAGCCTGAAGAAACCCCTCTATTAAGTAAAATCTATGTAGAGTGGGAGGATGAATGGAGGAGATGAAGGTGAGGACTATGGTTGATGGACTTCATATACACACACAAAATAGAACGATGAAATCTCTTGCAATGGCTTTAAGTCAGGTAGGGAGGGGAGATGGTGGGGCAATCTGACCAATGTACAATGTAAGGCTATTCAGAATTGGCAAAATGAACCCCCCTGTACAGTGAATATGTGCTAATAATAATGAAAAAAAGACATGGAGTACAGACAAAGCAACAAACATTCCTTACAGCATGACAATTTTAATTTTACTTACTATTTTTATTATCTTTATTGTACTGGGGGTACATTATGACATTTAAAAAAGTGTACAACATATCTTAGTCAATTTTTAGTTTAGTTTTTATTATAATTAATTTTTAAAAACTATATATATAGTGAAAAATAGGGCTTAAGTCTACTATTCTATGAGTCTTTTTTTTTTTTTTTTTTTTTTTTTGGTGGCACTGAGGTTTAGAACTCGGTCTCATGCGTGCTAGGCAAGTGCTCTACCACTTGAGCCACTTCACCAGCCCTGTTTTGTGTTGGGTATTTTCTAGACAGGGTCTGTTGAACTATTTGCTCAGGGCTGGCTGGGGCTGACATTGAACCTTGATCCTTCTGATCTCTGGCTCCCCTAGAATTACGGGTGTGTTGCCTTATCCCATGAGTCTTAACAAATGCATCTACAGTGACACCTTATGAAGACACAGAGTATCATTTCACCCCAGAAAGCC